AAGTTTTAACTCAAAACTTTGGAAATGTTAGTGGTACTTACGTATCAACACAACTACTACATCTAAAGTCGTCAAATTTTCAGAATGTGCCAAACTCTGCCAAACATGCGCATAACCATTTCTTCCGGCAACCATACGCATAGCAATCTTTCAGTCAAGCAACGCCGCCATTTTCGTATGCGCTCTTTTTTGTTGTATTCCAAGTTCCAATTCTTATAAATAAATCGGATATTCTTTGCCTTAAAGTTAGTTTTAAAATATGAGTCTGTGAAACTGCCAGCAATGGAAGAAATTGCTGTAAAATTTCTGCAGCAATACAGAAGTTTGCTGAAAATGTTCTAAAGGGAACAACGAAGCAATGCGTTTTCTAGTAAGCCACTGTTTGCCGAAGATTGCATGAAGCGAGGTCCGAATTTCTCTGATGTTTTTTTAAGTGAAAAATATCGCTGTATACTTCAAGAGAAGGGCAGCACAAAAAAAAAAAAAAAAATTACAGAAATATTTGAAGAAGTCTGTAATTGCTTTTCTTTTTTTTAACATATTACATAATCCTTATTTAAATAATTCAAATTTCTATTAAAGTATTAAAGTATGCTTTTTTTTCATACGGTGATACTGTTTACCAATTTACGATAAATATCGATAGCTTAGCAATCTTTGTAAAAAAAGGCTTAAAAAACCACCAACTTGCACCCGATAAGTAACTTTTACCTTTTCTTCTGTAAAAAATCGCCAAACTGCGCCAAAGTGGTCGCGTTAGTTTGAAAGTACTAGATTAATTTTATTGAAGTCCAGTAGCAGCACTCATTAAACGGAGCTGTTGAAATTTAAAACGGGCATAGGTTATTAATATGTGTATCTGACAGACCTGAGCCTTATACATTCTTAATATTCTGAATAGAATTCAGTGTTCCGTATTTAGTGTTTATCTGCATTAATCTCTTTGAAGCCATAGCGGCTACACTCGTCTAGCAAAAACGACATCTGCAATCGCTTGCTCTTAGATACTTGTTTTAGCGTAAACGGTTTAAGCATCGTGCTGCCGTCCTCTGGGTTTTATTCTAACTCACACAAAGCAGCTAAAAGAACATTGAATTTAATAACTACAAACTGGGTGAATTTAATAACTACAAATTGCGCAGACCGAGAGCAGTTAGTTGAGTCTTATTATCAAATATAGTTTGCTGCACAAGACCGGCAAAGTCCTAAAAACTAACCATGGCATTAAACAGCCTCCAGAAAATAACCCTTTCTTCAACACTTGCTTTGATTTAAAACGTTTGTTTGAAAATGTAAAAAATTTCGACTGTCACTAAAATATTTTTTGCCAAATTGTACTAAGAAACAACCTCCAGATTTAATCGTTTTAATTATATACTTCATTTCTAAATTCCATTTGTACCTTTTTAATAAATATAAGCAAGGCTTTAAAAACATATCCTTAAATTTGTTTACCATCAGATGCAGACTTCAAACTTTGTTTTAACTAAAAGACGTTTAGTATTTAGAAACAAAATTAATTTCTTCTTATCTTTGTTCTATTATGAAGGCAGACCTGAGAAATTTGAAAAAATTTAAGATACGCCTTATCGCTGTGCAGAATACACGAAATGAAAGCAATCAGTGGATTTTCTCTTCTGATCCAAAGGTTGTAGCATTGCAGGTGTTACTGTAAATGGGCCTTATCAAATACACTGAATCCTCTCTAAACCAATTATCAATGTCTCGAAATAAATTTAAGCTTCTCTGGAACTGTCTATTTACAATTCTGTTTTTTCCGCTGCTGATCCAAAGGTATTACAGATATTACTGTAAGTGGGCAAGCCGGTTACCACTGTCTCCAAATTAATTTTAGTCTTCTGTGGAAGTGTCTGTTTATAATCTCAGAAACATCCTTTTTAGGAGGGAGGGATCTACGGTGGCTGGTCGTCACCAAATAGTTCATCATATATGTAGATAGATAAACAGAAGAATAGAATTAAATAGAATATATGAATCTACCAAAAGTGACAAACTACGTAATATGAAAAAAGTACAAATGGAGGAGGGGAATGAACCATAAACTTGGAAATAATCCTGAAACAGAAACAAATGAAAGCGAAAAAAGTTGATAATGTAGAGTAACCGAATCTCTTTAAATTGTTTGTTACAGCTATACAGAAAAATGTCCTGGATTCTAAAAAAAATGTTATGCTTAGATTGAGGAGTGTGAAATTTATAAACACTCACAAAAATTTCATGGTTTGACGGATGGGGTGTTACAAATACAGAATAGGGTAATTAGGACAGCCATGTATAAATAATCTCACGTTAATGTAAACGTAAAAGATCTATTCTCTGATGTGTATTTTTCGAAACTAGTCAGAAACTGCAAGTCGCATTTACTCACTAGAACGGCTTTAGGAATTTGTGAGAATTCCAAATCCGCGTTGAATAGCATCCTTTCTTTCTTTCCACCGACAGCGAGGCAGCCGGTCCACTGGGTAGTTAGCATATCGGTCAGGTAGCCCCGCTGACGGAAATAACTTGAACAAAAGACACACTTATAAATACATATTGTGCTCAAGACGACTGCTGGGGGCAGTGCAAACAAATGCTGGACGAAGACGATAGTGCAAGATGGAAGAAGGGTGCATTGCGGGCGTGAAGAACAATTCCAGTTACATATTTACAGAGTAATGGATAGGTGGTTACAAATACTAAAAGTAATAAGAAGTAAAATACTAGAAAGTAAAACAATACATAAAATAAAAAAAAGGCAAAACAGTGGAAACAATACATAAAATAAGGCAAAATACATAGTTCAAGGTTCATAATTCAAGGTTTACAGATCAAGGAGATAAATATATACAGGGAATAAGAAAAGCCGAATAAGCTAACTTAAGATTGCCGTTTTGAAAATGGAAAGAGTCCCAGAAAACCCTATATTATTTCATCGTATGACTAGATAGAAATGTCCTGCCAGGAAGGTTTTCTATTTGATTATTCCATTAAGTCAATTATGGATTTAATGCCTCCCATTTTGTCTTTTTGACTTCTTTGTTATTCCATGGGTCTGGATCAGACGATGTTGAATTCGTAATTTGACATCCGACTGGATTAAGTAACTCGTATTTTGCTTCGACCCTGGAACAATATCGGCAGCTTTCTGGCCAGGGTTTTCTAGACATGGCATCGACGTTTCCATGTGATAATCCCTTCCGAAGATGTATAGTGATGTCATATTCTCTCTATATTCGAGTCTCTGTATCCATCTGACTATTTGGCCTTCGAGATTCTTGAAATCTAAAACCCATATCAACGATGTATGATCTATGCGGAGCAGGAATTTTCTGCCGGAAATAATGATATAAACGTTCTACGCCTCTAACTGTGACGAGCAGCACTTTTCTGGTGGCACAGTAATTCCTCTCCACTTAGAGAAACACTTGCTCCGTATGCCGCGACATGTTCTTGACCGTTTATTTTTTTAGATCAAACAGTACTGACACTTTCATTACTTGCATCTGTGTCGAGAATAAATTATTTTTCGAATTGAGGATAAATCAGGATTGTCTTAGATATTAAAGTTTCGTTCTGTTTGTTAAATGCATTCTTATATTCTTTTATCCACAAGAACTATTCCTTACTTTCTGTCAGCTTGTAAAGTGGTCTTACGATGGAAGAAAAGTTTATTCAGAAAACATCTCAACTGATGGACATTTTCGGAACGTCTCCGATCTTTAACTGCCAATACATTTTCTCGCGCATTTTCGGCAGAGATGACATGGCCGAGGTAACTCACTTCATGTATGAACAATTTACATTTGTCAAGACTTAACTTTACATTGGTTTCCTTCAATTTAAGAAGCACCTTCCTAATACTTTCTAGATGCTCTTCAAAATTTTTGCCGACCATTATGATATCATCCAATTATATCCTATGGGCTTTGTAGGTAATACCTTTCTGCGTGGTCTTCATAAAGTATTCGAATGTTGTCAGCCCAATACAGAATCCAAACGAAATCACTTTAAACAGGCATAATCCTTATCCTGTAGTAAATGCCATCGTTTCTTCATCATCAGGTTTTATCTGTACATGACAGTATCCACTTTTAAAATCAAGCAGCGAAAACCACTTGTTTTCAGAAAATGTGACTAGGATGTCGTTAATTCTAGGAAGAGGTTACCTATCTTTCTTCATGACCTCGCATTTTAAGGTCGGTTTTTTGCCACTCCTATTTAGGCTGAAGTCATTGATTTGCATGCTTAAATCGTCTAGACGAGCAGTAAGTTGATCCGGTGGCTCCTGGACATGAGCAGCTCTTATTGGGTAATAATAATAATATTTATTCTTAGCCTGCCTCGCCTCTCATTGGGCACTACAGGTCATTCGTTATTAATTAATTACAAAGCAAATTACAATTATAAATACAATTTGATGTTGATTTTTCCAACTTACATTGAATAGTTATATTAGTGAAAACAAGTTTGAATAGGAATTTGAATATATATATGAAAAAGTGAGTTAATTACATATTTATATAAGGCATGCTGCCTTTTACATATCGTCAGGTTTTAACCTGGTATGACTTGTATGATGGTCTTGTTGTCATTGACGAAGCTGACAATCTCTCTTACTTCCTGGAGACCGTAGAAATCCGTTAGGTAACCTCTGAGACCTTTACTTTGGAGTAGGGCGGTGTTGGCTGGAGATCTAAGCGACTTGAGTGGGCATGAAGTGATGTAATGGACGGCATCTGCTGTGCTGGCGGGTAATCCACAACTGCACTTGACGTGTAAATGAAGAAGCCTCTCTAAATATTGGGGGAACCTTCCATGATTGGAAAGGGCCTGAACCGTGTAGTGGTTCGAGTAAACTCTTGACAGCCTGACGATCGGGAAAATTGCGAAGGTATATCTTCCAGTGTCCCATTGTTCCCATCTTTCTTGCCATTGTGACATGAAAGCCTCTTGGATGTGATACTTGGCTGCTCTCGTGGAGATCGGAAGGGAGATATCTAAGTCTTGACGAGATGTGGCTGCCCGTCGTTCCCTCTTGTCCCTTGATGACCTCTTACCCAGTGAATGGTGACTTTCTTTGTATTACTCAGAGTAGAGACAAGATCTTTTAGAGATTGAATATGCGCTGGAATCTTGCCTGTCTTATTCATACTCTGTAGGACGCTCATACTGTCTGTGTAGATAGAGACATTGTTAAAATCTGAACTGCTTGCCCAGAGGGCTGCTTTCCTAAGTGCTAGGGATTCCGCTTCAAAAACTGTGGCATGATCACTGACTCTGAAGTGATCTTGAAAAGTTTCTTGACTATTGTCGAACACTGCGAAAGCAGCGCCTACTCTTGTGTCGTCTTTAAACCCGTCGGTAAAGATCACTAAACCCTGATCGGACGGGGGATGTTTGTCCCATCGGAAATCTCTGAGGGAGGCTGGATGTAGGGATGTTGTACTGAAGCATGGTTCTAAAAGTGCTTCCTCGAGGAGAATGGAACCCTCTAATGTCGCTGATTCTTTGAAGTGCAGAAGTCTGTATGTGACTCGCTCGAATTCCGCTTTGAGATCTAATGGGAGTGTGCCGGCTAGGATCTGGAGGGCGGCAGTGGAGGTGGTAGTAAAAGCTTTTGTAATCTTTAACAGGGCGATCCTCTGGATTTGTTGTAGTTTTTGTCTTTGTCTTACTGTGCCCTGCATCCATACGGGGCAGCCGTAGAGAATCATTCTTTCTCTTTCGACTCCCCTTAGGTACAGGTCTTTAATTAGTCTACCTTTTAAGTTCCATTTGGACTCTATTATTCGGTTTAAAGTATTTATTATCTTGCAAGTCCTGTTCCTTATATCTAATAGGTGGGGAACCCACGTTAGTTTGCTATCCAATAGGAAGCCGAGGTATCTGAGAGTGCCCTGGTTCTTTAATGTTTGACCGTGCCATTTTATCCTGGGGGGGGACTGTTAATTATCTTGTTGCCCTTTGGAAAGATTATAATCTTAATTTTATTTATGCTAAAATCTAGTTTATACTTTGAGCTCCACGCAGAAATGATGGAGAGAGCTTTCTCTGCTTTCCGTTCTATAATAAGTCTGTTACCCCCGTTAATTACTAAGATGAAGTCGTCAGCATAAGCTTGAAGACTTGCTGTGTCTTCCAAATCTAATTCTAAAGCCGTATTAGCCATGATATTCCACAGGGTCGGGCCGATGTTAGACCCCTGTGGCGCTCCTCTTTTGGTAAGTGTGTGTGATGTGAACACCGTCTCTTTGGTAAGTTATAACTCTATCGTGAAGATAGCTGCTTAGTAGCCTGTAGATATTCTTGGGGCATCTGAGTCTTATTAATTGTTCCTTTAGACCTGGCCACCAGAGCCTGTTAAAGGCCGAGGTGACGTCGAGAGCTATGACGCATGTGTGTAGCCCATTTGTTTTGTTCTCGTTGATGATCTTTTGTAGGTTCTCAAGGGCATCTATCGTGTTTTGACCTTTTCTAAATCCGTATTGTGCTTTGTGCAGTAGGTTATTTGAGTCTAAGTGATGTACTAGACGCTGTGTCAGAAGCTTATCGAAAAACTTTGCCCCAGGCCGAGAGGAGGCAGATCGGCCTATAGGCGCTGGGGTCTTTGGGGTTCTTTCCTTCCTTTTTGAAGAGAACTAACTCTGCATTTTTCCAATGCACGTGGAAAATATCCTGTATGAAGGCAGGCGTTGAATACTTGGGTTAAAAGATCCTGATTGGCTAGTCGCAATTCATCTACGAAGTCTATGTTAAGCCTGTCCAACCCTGGCGCTTTGCCTCTCTTTGTGCTTTCTATTGCTTTTCTTATCTCTATGTTCGTAAAGTCTACATCATGTGGAGTGTCTATGGGACTCGTTGCTTTCTGTCTTATTAGTCTGTGCTCATCCGTGTCATTGACGCTTGGATCGTCGGGAAAGTGGAAAGTTAGAATTTCTTTAAATGTATCTGTAAGTTAGGGTGCCGTCACCCTTTAGGATGGCACTTAGTTGGAGGGGACCTAATCTTTTGCCCTTGGCAATATCATAATAAGTGCCAAAGGGGGATGTGATCTGTAGGCTTTGCCAAAATGCGTCCCATGAAGCTCTTTTTGCTTTGAAAATTATTTTCTTATATTTAGCTTGTTCGATCTTATATTAAGACGGAAATCTTTCCTTATTGAATCAGGAGCCCGGTGGTAACGGCGCCTTAGGGCTCGTAAGCTTCTTTCTTTGGATCTTTAATTCTTTTGTCCACCATGGATTGCTTCTGTGGTGTCGGATTTGGCCTATTTACGATTTCTTTGTTGCGTCGTATGTCTCCTGAATGAGGACGGTGGTGTCTTCTATTTGTTTGTCTGTGTCTTTTATATTTCTTAATCTGCTGTGGCTGTTATTTTGAAATTTACTTTTTATCGTGTGTCTGAATTCTAGCCAGTCCACCTGGGAGAGTTTCATTTTAAGATTTTAGGTTATGCTCTTCTTCTATATTTGTTATTTCGTAGGTTATGTAATTATGATCACTTAGGTTTGCTTCTATAACTTTCCAGTTTATGATTGCTAATTGATTATGTCTTTTGAGAAGTGTCAGGTCGATCCAGGAAGACCCTCTGGCTCCTGAGAATGTTGGGGGGGGGCTTTCCGGATCGTTTAAGATACTCATGTCCGTGGTAGCTAAGAAATCACATATCTTGAGTCCTCTTGGATCTGGGTGATTTGGGCTCCATATTGGATGTTTAGAATTAAAGTCTCCGCTGATGATGATGGGGATGTCTTTTTGATTCGCTATTTGACTTTCTAATGTGCTGAGAATTGGATCTATGTCTTGTGAAGGTGGACAATAGACCGATATCATAATGAATGGGGTACTCCCCTCTATCCTAATTACACATATTGACTCGTTGCTGTACAGTTCTAATGCTGGGATTCTGCTATCTGTTAAGATAATTGCTGCTTTTGCCCTATTTTTTTGCGTAATACTTCCTATAGTGTAGTGGAAAAAACCACGTATTTGGTCGTCTTTTGTGTAGGGCTCTTGAATGCATGCTATTTTTATATAACTATTTGTTTCTAAGTAGTCTCTTAAGTATGTAGTCGCACCCCTTGAGTGCTGAAGATTTATCTGAATTGCTGTGAAATTACTCATAATTTATTCTTTGCTTATACCTTTGTAATTCCTTAATGAAGCATATGCGCAATGTTTACTTCTACTATTGTGGTTTGTTTCCAGTCCTGTTTCGAATTTTGTATTAACATTGTGGCAGTTAATGCATCTAGGAGTTTGTCTGTTACACTCATTTTTGAAGTGCTCTTCTGATCCGCATCTTGTGCACCGAGGATGTGCTGTACAGTTTTTTGCTGAATGGTTATAGCCTAAGCATTTTGTGCATTGAGAAACTTGAATGAATTCCCTGACACTATTCCTGGTCCACTGTATATTAATTTTCTTAGTCTCCATTATTGCTTTGAAGCTGGTCGGGTCTATAGAGGCTACCCAGTTATTACCGAATCTGCCTTTCATATGGAAAAGTATTGCTATCTCAGCGTTTTCTATCCCTGGATTTTGAGTTAAGATTTTCTCTTTTATTAAGTCCTTATCAAGGTCTTTGTCTACGTTGTATATTACTATCCTAGGATTGACTTTAATTGGTCTTTTAGTCTCTACAATCTCTTTTAACTTAGAGTTTTCTTTTATCGCATCTTCCAGAATGTCTAGTTCCTCTTTCTTGTCTACTTTTATCAGAACCCCTCCTTTTCTTACTTTTCTAACTGCTTTGACCCCGACTTTAAGGCGTGCTTTGGTCTATGTTACTAACTACTTTTTCACGTACCTCTTCTGATGTCATGTCAGATTTGGGATAAACTATCGTGACGTATTCTTGGGTGTTTTGTGCTCTCGTCTGTGATCTGGATCTCGATCTACCTCTTTGTGCCATGCTGGCATATGTGGGCTTTGCTATGCTTGTAACGCCAGTTATATAGTCTTCTATCCATTTTGTATTCCCTAACTGTCCTTCTAAGTTTGCTATCTGCATGTTCTTTTTGGTAATTATATTAAGAACTTTAACAAAGTGCTTCGTTTATCTTTTTTGTTACCTTTTTGTGTATGTCTGCGGAATTTAAGATTCCGTCTAACCTCCGTCAAGTAACCTAAACTTTCTTGGACACTAAAATGATCTTCGTCGAACGTAGACCCTCCTTCTACCTGCGTCTCTGTCTCTAATTCTGTGAGATCCTGCTCTGTTTGTGGAGCTACATCTGATGACGAGTCTTTTTCTCGGCTGTCTTGCCTTTTAGACTTACTTGACAGACCTCCTCTATCTTTGCTTTTATGTCTTATAGACTGCCCTTCGCTGTCCTGGCTTTGATGCCTTTTTCGCTCCGTGTTTCGTGTTTTAGGCATACTCACTTTGTACCTGCACTGCGCAAGTATCCTTGTATAAATTATATGAATAGTTAAAAATAAACAAAGTTTTGAATAATTGCTGAAGTTAGCGTGCAATTAAAAAGTTATATTAAATGGCAACTACTATTTAAATTTCAAAGAATTAGTAAATCAACATTTTAACTGATTCAGAGGAACAATGGTATATTGCAATATAACTGTCTTATATAAAATTATAAGTTGAAATAATATGAAATCAGGCAGATGAAGAATAATTAAAATAATACAGGAGTATTAAAAATTAATAACTGACATACGTTTTGACTACAAATATTAAATACAACAAGTAAGTATCGGAAAATATTGAAAATACTAGATACAAATGTAATGTGTAAGCAACTTATCCTAATCTTTCAGGGTCTTTTCAAATGCTGTATAAGCAGGGTGTCTCAGTCCAACACTTCGGAAAAACGGTGGAAAAAATCCACATTACATCCGAAAATTAGTCCAAATAAGAGAGAAATTAAATTTTCAGGAACTAAAATGTTGAATCCAATATGAAATCTAACGCACTGTTGATGAATTAAACGTTTTCGGCAAAGTCTGGAAATTCCTGATAAAATCCAAAATAATTGTCGGATCCCTTGGAAAATGGTACCAAAATGCTCCTCCCAAGAAGGGCTCTTGAAAAATCCAAAATATTCTAAATTACTTGAATATTTCCGCAGATAAGAAAATCTTATTGGGTAGCGGTCTCCACGGGTTATTTGTCAGGCTGTCTCGAATTTCATGGTATATACTAAGTACTTTTTACATGCTTGACAACCACCATTCGCATGCCTTTCTGTATCTCAGGATCCCGGATGCCACCAACGAAGTATTGCAGGGAAAGGATTTTCTTTGTTTCTGTTGAGCAGTTCGTGAAATCAAGAGGAGACAGCCTTTCGTCATCCGTGGCGACCTTCTGGAGTGCTTCAGTGGGCTTCTATTCGGGGAATTTTAACTGAAGCTTGCGTTCGTCTTTTAAACATTTCTCGCTAAAGCGCATCTTCAACGGGCCGGATAGATCTTCGAAGTCTAGCCTCTGGTTTTCGGACAGAGTTGGAAGAATATCCGCTTCGTCTGCTCTCAGAGAAGCGGCGAAGTCCTTTAGTTTGGAATCTCATCTCTTTGTGCTTGTCGATATAGAAAACTTGCCAGGAAGTCTTTCATCATACGTGAATAACTTTAAAGAAGCTCAAAGGGACATAAAGAGGACTTTAAAGAGGGTCGAGAACCATGTCTATTCTGCCTTCCATAACCTCGAATTTGTTTTGTATTATGGTAGTAGTTTCTCTTTTCATTTCCTCTT